TCCATCCCTGCGTCGATCGGTCTCACTCTCACGCGGTGGTCACCGGTCTTGTTGCTGCTGCTGCTGCCAACTGCCATGACAGAGGCATTCAAGTCGGCACGACATGCATGTCCCCTGTGAAAATTCTGCATTTTAGCCCTTTCAAAAAACAATTTCTTAAAATAGACTCATCTAAAAGCTTTTTCTAAAAATAGATCGGCATTAAATAATAAAACGCTGAGATATTTGAATCGGCGTCATGTTAGGTTACGCCAAAACCTGCCACGTCAATGCCAACGTGGTGTGTCACCTCCGGACCTCGGCGTGCTGTCATCCAACGCCATCCTTCATACATCGGCGTTAAGTAGTATCACGCCGAGATCTAAACGTCGCCGCCTTGCTTCCTGGTGACTTGCTACTTGCGGCAAAACAAGCCACGTTTTCAAATATCTAATCGCCAAAGAGATACATGCTGGACCTGTCTCTCGATTTCCCGTTAGCTTCTTCTCTCTGGACGCTTCCTTCCGTTATATACCCAAATTTGTTGAGTTATTCTCATCTCAAAAAAAATTTGTTGAGTTATTCCATGCAAGCTAACTAACTTGCTAAAAGAAATATTGTGCACATTTTTAAAATACTTTTAGAAGATTAAAATAAGTTAAATATTTGATCTATCAAGACTGTAGTGCTTAGCAATGCAAGAAAAAAATCTATCAAGACTGTATTTTAATTTAATATACAAGGTTAAATAGTTATGTAGCATGTTTATTTCCGTTGCAACGCACGGCCACGTTTGCTAGTCATATTTATATATCTATTTTTGTTTTAACTCATATGAGCATGACTCGTGAGTCCAAGTCACATATGAGATACGCAGAGTGCGACTTAATAACGTTATTCTTTGCACAACTGGTATTGTTCTAAATCTTCTTTGCACAACAGAGCCATCTAACTAGGCTGCAAAGTCTTGTTCTGAAAAGTTCTTCTATTTTGCTCTTTCCAAACGTTCCATCAAAAGTAGATCATAATACTATCGAACGCCCTTCTTTGGTCTTTATCAAACCTTAACCAACACTTTGCACTAGTAACTGTGAAGAGATCCCGCCATTGCCACCGTACCAATCAACGATAATCCGAGCCATTGTTTTAGGATGGACCAAACTTGCTTTGCGAAAATGCAGTCCTTACAAAGGTGTGTTGGTGTTTCTGGCTACCTCCACATTTCCAAACCAAATCGTGTGCAATCCCTAGTACAACAAACGAAACAAACTAACCTATCCAAACCCATCATTTAACAACTACCTAGGTCCATGCAACCCGTAGTTTACGTCCAATCCACGGAAAGAGTATATCCTAAACCTAATTCATGTGAATGAGAAGGTGGAGAGAGAGAGAAAAGAAAATTGAGCCGGGCCGGCCAACCCTAAGTCAGCTTGTCGCGCCAGCCCGCATGGCGCGACAGCTCTGTCACACCAAAGTCGGTGGCGCGACAGGGTAGGCCCTAGCATGCGTCGCGCAGGATCTAGTCAGCGGTCTTCGCCACGGGGCGCGACATTGTGGGGCTGTCGCGCCAGTCGTGCGGGCGCGATCAAAGAGGCTACATTTGATTAATCTTTTTTGTAGCTATTATTATTAAAATATTGATTAAAGAAGGATTAAAAATCAGTTTATTGTGGGTAGCACTTCGTTTGGGAACGCAGGCAGCCGCTCGGTGCTCAGAATGGAAGCATTTCCGGCATCGGGGAAGAGAGTTAAAAGTTTGAAAAGTAAAAAAGTTGGGGCGGAAAAAACTTTCGTTGTCCAGTTACTTAAGAGGAGGTGGACAAAACAATGGATAAAGAGAGATTTTACATATTTATTAACAAATAAATAAGTGTAGATATCTCAGAATCGAATATACATTGTACCGGTGTCTTTGTTCTCATCGAGAGAACTACTCGAATCATCGCCCTGTTCGTTTGGGCTGGTTTGGCTTATAAGCCATGACTGAAAGTACTGTTGGCTGGTTTGGTGTGAGAGAAAAATATTGTTCATTGACTGATAAGCTATGGTTTATATACGAGCAAGCGAACAGGACGCATATATCTAACTTATTTTAATCTTCAATAAATGTTTAAAAATGTACGCAACATTTCTTTTGACAAGTTAGGGGGCGTTCGGCTGGTGCAAAATTCCTCTAAAATTCACTGTAGCTAACTGAAAAACACTGTTTACGCTCTTATAAATTCTTCTAAATTTCTCCAAGCGAATAGGGTGTTAGTGTGAATGGAGTACTAAAAAAAATTGGGTATGTACCTTAACGAAACGTCCATAGAGAAGCAGCTAATGAGAAATCAAGAGATCACTCACGTCCAGTACGTATCTCCTGGCCGATTAGGTATAGTATATTATTTGAATACTTGACCTGTTTTGCCTGCTCCCTGTATAAACGGCGCAGATCGCCGAACTCTCTGCCCGCAAGTAGCACGTCGCCAGGAAGCAAATCGGTGTTTAGATCTCGGCGTGATACTACTTAGCCCCGTTTGGGACGGCTTCCGCTACAGTGTTGCTACAGTCTTTTTGCTACAGTCTTTTGGAGAGAGAAAATCGTCTATTTGCTACAGTGTTGCTGCAGTCTTTTTGTGAGGTAAGCCGGAGCCGGCGAAAGCCGTCCCAAACGGAGCCTTAACGCTGATGTATGAAGGATGGCGTTGGATGACAGCACGCCGAGCTCTGGTGGTGAAACGCCACGTTGGCGTTGACGTGGCAGGTTTTGGCGTAAGCTGACATGACGCTGATTCGAAGATCTCGGCGTTTTATTATTTAACGCTGAGCTTTTGGTCTATTTTTGGAAGAAGTTTTGAGAGGAGTCTATTTTAAGAAATTGTTTTTTGAAAGGGCTAAAATGCAAAATTTTCACCATGTCCCCTCGCTCAGCTCGTTCGTTGTTGGGGGAGTAAAAAAATCACTCTCACTAGCTACCGGTTCTGCTGAATAGCAACTGAACAAAAGATGATTGGAAGAATCTCTCTCTCGCTGACTCTCTCTGACTCTCTCTCTCTCTCTCTCTCTCTCTCTCTCTCTCTCACTCACTCTCACGTACGAATCCATGTTCCAGGGCAGGTACATTACATCGTCGTCTTCATCGTAGCAGTACGTACGTGCATGTGGATCGATGTGGGGGCGTATCGTATTAGCTTGTTCGTATTTTTTTTTCTTTGTTCCTTGTCCTTGCTTTTATATTTACTAATCCTTTGGCGAGTTCTGTGCCAATCTGTCCATAATTAGCATTGGAATATTGGGTGTTCTCACGTGTTTTGTAAGCAACAACCTAACAGAACAAAACTAGAAAAAAAACAACTATATATTGTACTGTGCAAGAACAGTCGCTAATTTAATTGGTACGTGACACGAAAGCTCAGCTTAGTAATATGGACACTTTTTTATAGGTCCTCACATATCCACGATTTATGTCAGTATCTGTCAAATTATATATATCTACGGAAATATGTAGCACTAACATATTTGCTTAGACGATGACAGTAGTTAACGTGTACATAGCTATTTAAAAAAATACTCCATTCCAAATTATAAGATGATTTGACTTTTCCTAAATACATTACTATTATTATATATTTAGACGTGTTATACATCTAAGTACATTAATTGCAGAATCTACGTATCTAAAAGGCCAAAATGTATTATAGCTCGGAATGAAAGGAATAGTATTTGAGGTGTGTTCGGTAAGCTGAATTGTTCCGGATTCTTACCTAGAACCAAAGAATCACTTCCAAATGATAAAAGGAGGAAATGTTTCAGCGTAGAAACATTTTTGGTTTCTTGCTTTGGAAACACGAATTGGCCAGAGGCTGGTTTCACCAGATTCAGTTTCGTTTCTTGGCCTCCCTTCTCTTAAGAATGGGTGTCTAGTCTAAAACGGATTCACAGAGTGATTCCGATTCATGATTCATCACCTGAAATGTTTCTACAGAGAATCCAAATCTGAAACGTTTCTATAAGAATCTAGAGCCCTGCCAAACGCACCCTTAGTATTAAAAATTTTATCTACATTTGCATATAAATAAATGTCCGTTTGCGGATCTGGATCATTGTTATTGGTCTGGGTTGTTTCCGTCCATATGTAGGTGTACTTGGATGAATGAGAAGAGTATTATCCAATTATCCAATGCACGATCCCGTTCCCCACCAGGACGCAATACGGGCCAGATGCGTCAGGATAAGCCAAATAAACTACTTATAACGCTGTCTCATGAACGAGCTTAACCAATGCTAAATAATAAGCAGGTATTAAATGTGTGTGGTCAGACTTCCATTGCCTTTCACGTTGCTGTTTGATGAGCTGCTTGATTTTGATACTATATGTATAGTCCAGTGATGTTGATGCTAAACAAAGTCTAGGTGCAGATGCATCCATCTGTGAAGTGGTGATAGCAATGTTGTTGTTGTTCTCCATTGCCACAGTACTTGCAGAACATAAGGCGTTTCACCATCAGGAATTGTGCATATTCTCTCTGTTGGAAAAAAAAAGAGAATGGACGAGCTCATGCCTTCCTTTTTTTATTTTATTAAAAAGATCAAAGAAACACATGACAAAAACAGGGAAAACTCGCAAAACACGGCACTCTCATATGAGCACAATTTTACACCAGCACACAGGCGAGGCGTAAACATGCAACTTCTGCAGAACACGGCAGCTGACCAGCTTTTACTAGTGACATGCAGATTACAGCATAGATAGACACAAGAACGCCGAGATTATTTACAGGCAGCAACCGCGGACGAGGTAACAATGTACTACAGGGACGTGATTATGACTCAGCTACAGATATACTAAGCATGTTCAGAAATATTAACTACACTAGGAGAAAGATGTCCAAGCTTTACACCGAGACGTGTCATGCATACGTACTCAAGTTCTGGAACTTGGACAGACTCTGATCCTACGAGTGAGCATCGATTTTGAAAATGGCATTGATATTTCAGATCTCCAACTGGGGCTGTAGAGCCATGATCACACGATTTTACTTCAGGATCTTAGACTCGATCTCCTCCAGGCTCAGTCCTTTGGTCTCGGGAACAACGAGGATCACAAACACCAGGGAGAGCACTGCTATGACGCCAAACAGGAAAAATATATTGGCTGGCCCAAGGAACTCCTGTGGTACACAGAGAAGTATTCATTGTCGACAAATCCGCAACAGTATAGTTTGTTTCCATATTTGTGCAAAATAAAAAGAAAGGTTTGATATCATTACTTTGAATAGATAGCCACAATAAACTATTCTAGAGTTTCGACCTAACAAGAGGCTGAATTTTGACCATACAAGATGTACAAGAGTTTTCTCTATGACGAAGGATAAAAATGACTATTTAGTGGAGAAGCATTCGTTGAGCACAACTACTGGATATTGGCACGTTTTTTTTTTAATGTAATTTACTATTTTGGGGTCTCCACTTTTAGGAACTAAACATCATGAAATTGAACATGAGGTAGCAACTATGAGAAGCAATACCTTCAAGGGCGAAAATGCAAATGTCACCAAAGCGTTTGAGCCGAAATTTGTTAGTACTGCAAGGCTGATCCCACGCCCTCTTGTTCGGAGTGGAAAGATTTCAGACACCATTAGCCAACTAATTGGACCAAATGAGACCTGAAATACAAAGGCAAATAATAAGCTTGTGGATTCCTGAAGAAACAAATTGTTCTGATTGTCAGGCTTCTTGTACAGAACTGAAGCCCTGACCTGGTAAGCACCGACATAAAGAAGTAATGCGCCAACAGCAACCAAGGGGAAGCCGTTCAGAATCTTGTAGTAAGCTGCCAGTAGGAAGAGTGACAAAGCCTGCATTTACATGTTAAAGAAAAAATCAGGTTAATTTAATCAGAACGTAGGAATACAAGCCTGATAGAACATGCATAAAGTTAGTAATAAGTTAACCAGGTATCTCATTCTAATCTAGATCAATACAGTGCCTAAAACACCAGTATTGTTTAGTGTTCATGTTAAGTGGGATTGCAGACTAAATTTGAGTATGTGTATGCGCCGCTTTCCACGTAATATGTAGAGCTTAATCAAAAGTAGAAGGAAGGAATAAAACTCACAATTCCACCAACACCTCCTATCAATAATGGCGCCTTCCAACGTAATTGCCGACTTTGAATACCGCAACGCCTGTCATTAGCAACTGAGAAGAATAGATTTGTTACACACTCAAAATTGAAGGAGACATAACATAGATTTCTGCATACACATTTTGATACAGAAGTAGCTATTGTATTAGTACTGATGTAGATCCTTTGCATTACCTTGAACAACCCAATCAAAATTGCTACTTTGGCAGCATCTGATGCAGCTGAGAACCCAGCAGTCTACATATGGCATACTTTAGCGATGGAGATGTTGAATTGTGTGAATTCAAGAAATGCAAAGGGCAGATAACAATATCCTACTTCTCCTTTCTGTACAAAAACTATACCACCAAAAAATTCAGAGCAAAATATTGGTACCTGAAGTATTGAAGCTGCATAATATAGAACACTTGGTTGACCTGTTATCTGCCAAATAAGAGTTTAGCTCGATAATACCAATCCAGCATGTCCATACTGCCACTCAAAAAGAACAGGCATTCGTATTTCAAGAGGTAGATGCATATACATGGGTTAAGGAGAACAAAATACCTGCTGAAACAGAACCAGACCTCCGCCGATAGTGAAGGCCTTCAAGCTAGCTCCCTCAAATACCTCCCAAACGTTTCCTTCGGCTTCCTGTCCTGCGTAGGCAGCCTTAATAGAGACAATTGTATCTTCAACATCATCTGTCAAAACCTTTTCACTTGTTGAGCGGCCCCTCAATGTTCTAAGGGCTTGAATTGCCTTCTTTTTATTATCCTCCATAGAAGCCTTTCCTTGAACTGCCCTGAGAAGTAGCCATCTTGGTGAAGATGGTAAAGTCCACATACCAATAGCCATAATAGCTGCAAGCGGAGCACTAAAACCAAACATGTACCGCCATCCTCCTACATTGTCAATTTCAAGACTTCCTACAGAGTATCCTAACTGCACAAAATTATTTAATGGTCAGCAAGCATGAAATGGGTAAATGAAGTTAGAACACATGAGAGATTTGGTAATTACCAGTATTCCTAACACAATAAACAGCTCCTTCAAAGATATCAATGTTCCACGTATTTGTGAAGGAGAAGTCTCCATAATATAAAGAGGGCACCATGCATTGCCTGGGACAGAGCACCGTAATGGTTCAGTGGCATAACACCAACTCTCCCAAACCCCTAGCTGAATATGCACTGCTCCTTTGCAATTGTATTCCTCTTCAATTGTTACTAGGATTCTATTCCTCTTCAATTGTTACTAGGATAAATCCTTTTCCTACAATTGCAATTTGCATAATCCCTTATTTGCCACTATCAGTGACACAGGTGAGGCCCATGTTTCATCGAGACATATCAATCCCTTTTTAACAAAGCATGGAGCATTGGACAAATTGGATGCTAGTGGATGTTAAAAGTTGGTGGAAAACATGCCACTGTAAAGTGCTACATGCAAAACAACCTTGTGCCAACTACCTCAGAAATTAAAGCAGAAAGTTATATTAAATACCTTAGCAAACAATATATTTCAAACCAACATCAATATGTTTGTTTAACCCATCATCGGAATATCAGAAAAATCAAGTGCAAGCATGTTTATATCTACTTATTCTATAATTAGTTATATCAGAACATGACCATAAAGCTACATCAGCCAATTAGTTTTGCTGTTACACACTTCAGCAAATGGCTACGTATCAGAGAACTACAATCAGACATCACGGTGTTATAAGTTTATATCAGTGAATGTTGTGTTCCTCAGCTTGAGTGAATGTATAGCTAATTGTCCCCAGAAAATCATTTCCTATATGCATTCCTAAATTAGGTTCGTTTAATAACAATTACCTGGGACCATTCTAGAAAAGGGAAATAAAAAAACATCTGTGTACCTGCAGATACTCACCAAACCAATACCAATCCCATACAAGACACGACCTATGATTAGCGCTACAAAATTAGGGGCAAATCCAGTGACTAAAGCACCAAGAATATATAATGCAGCTGCGGTGACCAATTCTATTCTCCTTCCTGCATCAAGATGATAGTTGTTCACATCCTTATCAAACAAATGATAAGGACAATTAAAAAAGGTGTAGCTTTTTAATTCACCTAGAAAATCTGCAATGCGGTATGCAAGAAGAGATCCACCAAGAGCACCATAAAGTGAACTGCTGGCCTGAATAAAAAAAGAAAGGAAGCTCATTTTCATCTTGATAACTGATATGTGAAAGGAGAAGTGAAAGCCTAGGTAAATTAGAAATTTGGATTACCACAAGCCCTAGTTGCAAAGATGACAAGCTGAACCAATCGGTGCCACTGAGATCAGGAGACTGACGAGGAATACACCAGTGGCAGTGAGACTGTATGCCGGCTAGAAAAAACTCACAAAAAAAAACAACCAAATCATGGACTAACTTGCACAGAGATGGTCGCTCCAGAGGTTGCGCCAATGTCATAGCCGAAAAGGAGACCGCCCAACGCAGGGAAGAAGAACCTAGGTTCCAAACAGTGATCATCAGTACTGAGAGGTTGCAAGCTCGATAGGCTTCCCAATTACCCCCTTTTTATTTGTTTATTTTCCAATGTCTACACGAAGCAGCAATGCTATGACAAGTATCACTGAAGCAAAACTCCAAATTAACAAATTCCTTCACACTTTACAAAAATATTAGACAGATCCTAAATTATATCATCATGCATTCTATGACTGCTTGAAATGGAAGGATCACAGTTTGAAAATGCTAGCATATTTGCTGAGATGCAGTACAGTACAGCAGGTCAATTCCACTATGATTTATGAAGCCAAGTCCTCATCAATACCCTGAACAAGTTATCTACTCAACAAGCAATTCACAGCGCATCGGTTGCCTAATTCCACAACATTGTGCATACAATTCTCACAGTGCATTGGTTGCCTAATTCCACAGCATTGCACATACAATTTCACAGTGCACCGATTACCTAATTCCACAACATAGTACGTGCAATCAGACGGCGTGGAGGGTTCAATCGGAGTAGAAACGCATCCTAACTCTAACACCCAGCGCGTGCGCGCTCCAGACAATCCCCCAAACGCTACAATCGGAGAGGGTGGCGGAGAAAATATCTTACGGGAGGATGACGGGTGCCCACGAGAAGGCAGCGTCCCCCTCCGTCGAGGCGCCACGCCCGGCGCCGCCCTCGCCCTGCGCATGGGTCCGCACCTGCACATCCTCCATCCCGTCAGACCTTTCACCACCATCGAGAGCCGCCGCCTCCCTCCCCAGAATAGCAGGGGCGGGCAAGGGCTATGTTTAGCCGCGGCGGGACGGGTAGGATCGGTCGGGCGGCGTACGCGGAGCCTGGGGTGTCCCCCGGCGGCGGGGCGCAGGAGGGGCTCGGCGGCCCCCGACACGCGGAGGGCGGCCATCGCCGGCGCGCGGCGTCCGAGGACCGGGAGGCGGCGGGCGTGCGGGGGTTGGCGGTTGCTGGCGCCGGTCGGCGCGGCGGGGGCGGGGGCGCGAATGGCGGTGGAAGCGGCGACTGAAGAGGGGAACAGGCCTCCGAGGGTCGCCATTGCTGGATCCAGCTTCCTCGCCGTGGATTTGCACGTGTATATAATATAATCAATAATAACGCGACGTCATTAACTTTACCATCACTTACAGTACTCCTATGCAATATTGAAATTTTAAATTCGACACAAGAGTGTGAATAACTAAAAAAGAAGTAAAATTGTACATGGTTTCAAGATTTAATTTCTTACTGCAGTGAATGTCTCTTATGCAATATTTAAACTTTAAATTCAAATAACTTCAAAAGAAGTTACATATTTGTAATAATTTGATTTCAGGATTTAATTTCTCAACAGTAAAATTTAAAAACAACTTTTGTTTGTTTTAAAATTATATTTCAAAAATTTCTTTGATTTGGCGGGGGCCGCGCGAACGCGTACCCCCCTACCACAAATTACGACGTCCACTCTCCCGCTTGGGGAGATGGTAAGCCTGCGCAACCTCCAAAAGTGCAATGAGGACCACTGACCCAGGCCACGGGCCTTCGTGATCGCCCGTCGGCCCCGTCCAGGTAAGTATGGAGCAACGGGGCACGGGGCGCTCATCTTATAGCGGGAGCTCGCGGCGCGTCTGCCTTCCGCTGGCGAGGTGCTACTAAACGTGGGATGGGAGCGAGCGGAGCGGAGGAATGCCCGTGCCCGTCTCCGCTCTGCCGCCGAATCCAGAATCCTGGGCTGCGGCTGGTTGGGCCGTTTTCCTTGCGGGCCGTTGATTCCATTAGTGGGGAACACGGATCGGGACGATCCAGCGTGTTGCCGGCCTGCTCCGAACTAGAAAGAGGGCCGCGAGACTTTTTGCTCTTTGTGTTAGCACGTGCGTGGGCAGTCCTTCTCATGTGTTATTTTAGAACAAAAAAAAAAATATATATATATATATAGCGTTCCTTAATTTTCTCATATGGTCCATGAGGCCACTGAAGTGAACATATTCACCCGTGCACGGCGTTTGCTGTTAACCAAAGTTTAGACACGGTTTCAAGCTTGTCAAAACTATGCATTTGCAGTTTAAAAAAAAAATCTATGCATTTGCAGTTAAAAAAGAACTATGCATTTGCATGCGTTTTGTTAAATTTGTCCAAAAAACTAACCGAGCAACTGCACACAACAACTCTTCTTTTAGCTAGATCATCAGTTCATCACAGGCCAGTGATTTGTTCTTAGTATAGACGTATAGTTAGTACAGATCAGCCAAAGAAACACGATGCACTCGCGGCGGGATCATGGGATATATGATGAAGGGTACGGCCTCTGAATTAATGACTATAAAATTGCGAGGAATAGATACTACTAGCACATATGTCTGTACGTTGCAACGGGACAAGAAAAAACTATCAGACCTTAATAGAACATAAGGACAAAAATGTTATATATCTATTTATATTTTACCTTTCTCATAATTTTAATGGCTATAATTTATTTTGTTATGATCATGACATCCACAATAAAGGTAATATTGTTAATAATATGACAATGTCATGTTAAGTCTAACGAATTAAAGTACTCCCATTGTTCCAAATCTTAAGTTGTTTGGACTTTTTAGATACATAGCTGTTACTACGCTTCTATATACTCATTATGTCTAAATACACAGTAAACAGGTTGGTTTTCCGTCCATGGGAGTCCTGGTACCGTGTCCATCCTTTTTTTTTTCTTTCATCTATTTTTTTCCACGTATGTTTTTTTTTCACTATCAATTTCCCTTTTCTTTGTGTCCTTTTTTGTCCACGTTATATTTTCCTGAAAAAGGAACGATGGGCGTGAAGAATTACGGAAGTAGCCGACTTAATAAGAAGTCTAAGAGTTAGATTTGACTTGCAGGCAAAATAAAATATGAAAATAAAATAGCAACAAACTCCTAAGGAAAAGAAAATAGCAACAAACTCCTAAGTGGACTCACAGATCAAAAAAGGAAAGCAGCGGACATATCTGAACTAAAATAGCACCGCAGACAAATGTACTCAAGATTTCAGTTTATCATTTAATTAATCAGCTGATCCAAATTTTAATAAAAATAAATTTTGTTTCTAATCAAAACTACATTAATAATTTAGTTGTAGTAATCTCTGTTTTTTAGAAAAGAATCAATAGCTCAAATGGCTCATAATATTATATTTATTATTTGTTATTCAGGGAAAAAAACAAAAAACCAGAAGAGAGGACGTGCGTAACCAAAGATAATAACCAACAAATGGGAAACCGCATCGGACACAGAAAAAGGAAAAGAAAATCGGGAGCGTACATGGTCGCATGCAAAACAGAAACGGAGCAACTAGAAACTCCATCGGACACGGAAAAACAGACACGGAAAAAAAGGAAAAAACCAAAAGTGGACATGGAAAATAGGAAACAGAGCAAATAGAAAATGCATCAGAGGAAACACAGAGTTGGACTCGTGTACCCCGATAAAAAACGACCATAGAATAAAAAACGAAAAAAAGCGATAAAAACTACCGTGGTTTAATATTAGGAACAAATTTCTGTGGTTTAATATTAGAGTATAATAATAATAATAATAATTTCTCTCAATGTCTTTTTCTATTTGTGTTTGGATTTGGATTCCTATTTAGACTATTAAAGATAAGAGAAATCTTGGATTAGGATTCCTACGTGGTCTCACAGACTAAAATAGCACCACAGAGGCACTCCTATTTGAACTCGTTGACACTAATTAATCATATATCAGGACGAACATATGAGCAAGGTTTATGAACTCAGGTCACATATACGATCCAATACGTTTTGCAGTCGGATTTCGTATCACGCTAGACAAGAGCTATTCTAAACGGGTTATATATAAAACTTCAGATAAAATAAATACTCCATTGTCCGATAGTTAGAAACGTGGATATATATAACCCGTTTAGAATAGCCATCGGACCAAAAAAAATGGCAGGAATTTTTGTCTCTTTATTGTTATTATTATATTAGGGACTAGATATATACCCTTGCGTTGCACCGGGAGCATGATTTTTTTTACTAAACCTCAGTATTTGGACGTAGACGCGTAAGCTCTGAGGATTTTGTATTAGATGCGAACACGTGGGGTCCGGTCTTTGTACTGAAATTAGATAGGACGGACGTGTGAGCGGTGATCGAGATTTGATATTATCGGATAGTTTCGTATTGGGTTGATTTGGTATAATAACGGATATATATGTTGTGTTTGGAACTACTCCACGAACTCTGCCCACAAACTAAACCGTGGAGTAGCTCCACAAAAACCTAGAGTTTATGAAGCACCCCTTTAGTTGCTCTTACAATTCTTTTTTTTTTCCGAGCAGAGTGCGTGAAGTTTAGGGGGGTATTTGAGACTGCTTCGTTCCACATTTTTTAGCTCTGCTCCACGTTTTTTAGTCAAATAGTTTTAGCTCCATGCACTCTGTTTGAGAATAAATGGTGGAGTTGTGAGAGTATCTAAAGAGATGCTCTACAAACTTTAGTTTTCTATAAAGTTGCTTCATAGTAGAGTTTATGAATCAAAGTTTACGGAGCAGTCTCAAACGCTCCGTTAACCTGTTTAGCTAAAAAAAACTTGAAACAGAGCTGAAAACGTGGAGTGACATTAATATTGTGTCAGACTGGGAGACCTCAGAGTTTGTACACGCACAGGAAGGGATTTGTCGTTCCAGGCCCCAAAAATCGAATGGCCCCTCTCTAGGCATGCTACTGTATACTACTGTATAATTCTTATAATTGCTAATAATAGCCTGGCCAAAAACACAACACACAAGATGTATACTAGGCCTTGTCTAGATCTCATTAAAATTCCAAGTTTTTTCATTCTCTCTCCATCACATCAATTTTTGGACACATGCATGGAGCATTAAATGTAGGTAAAAAAAATAATTAATTGCATAGTTTGGTTGTAAATCACGAGACGAATCTTTTGAGTCTAGTTAGTCCATGATCGGACAAAGTTTGTCAAATACAAACGAAACGTGCTACGGTGTCCGGATTGCAAAAATTTGCAATCTAAATAAAGCCCTGCTATATTTTTTTATCACACACTACTATAAAATTTTTATAACTGCTATAATCAGCATGTTCGCTGCTGAAACCAATGAGGAAATAGGCTGAATAATAGCCTGGCCGGCTGGCCCAAAAACGCAACACACCTGACGCTATGTGGTTGTCTCTTTCGCCGTTCGGTCTTCCGCACGACCGCAATGAGGCACCGAGGCACACCGCGTGAATTGAATTGTGATCGGTCTGATCCGTCTTCGGTGAATCCGAGGCCGAGCCAGCCACGTAAATCCAGAGGCCGGGCGCGTACACGAAGGGGATCTTGGACGAAAGAGGTTCATGTTTTTTAGGTGTATATAGAAGATAGATTAAAATATAGTGCTATGGCCGTGTTTGTTTGCACTTATAATAAAACAAAAAGACGTGAATCCCACCAAAGATCTGTATTACAAACTCGAATTAGCAAAATCAAGAATCGTAGTGATTATAAACATAAATAAACGAACAGGGTCTACAGTGGTAGGCAGCTAAACCCCTTTCCGTCAATTCTATATCTATATTTATAACCCTCCTTAACTAACTTTGTGAATGCGAAAACCGTCTATAGCCCTTCTCTTTGTATAACAGTTCAAGACTGCTTAAGATAATTTGGATAGCTACGAATCATAATCCAATTAGATCTCTCCGATTCCAGGTACCCTGAATAGAAATCTTAATCTAAATAGAAAAATATAAGAAAATGGACAGCTAAAAATCTTAATCCAACTAGTCAGTTCCCCGCCCATTGCCGCGGGCGAGTGGTCGTTGTCATGATTCAATAATAATATGAATCATTGGAGGAAAGTGGATTCAAATGTGTTGATATGGAGTGGTCATGAGAGAGTGGAGTTTAA